TACCCCAGCGACTTAAGACTAGTTTTGTGGTCCAGGGTCACATTTATTCCTGTTTGTTTGGTGTCTCTTCTAACAGAACACTAGGCTATATGTCCACATTAATCTGGATACATTCGAAAACACTTTCAGTTTTGACCTTTCGACCACACTCAGACAATGTTTTTGTCCAGCGAAAACAGAGCGTAAATTTGGAAACGCCGTTTTCACGCTGCAGTTGTGGACTGTGACAACGGAGGCAAATGAAACCAGAAAATGGTTGTTGTGCCTGCTATTCACTTAATAATAATGTTGCTAAAAAAAGAAATGTTGCTTTGCACAATCTTCAAATTACATTCCTGCAAAGACAGAATATTTACTCGTAATTGGCAGTTGCGTTTTTAGACCATAGACCTTAGTCACAGTAACAGCGCCATATTTAATTTTTGACAGGAATGAAAACGAGGCTGAGGGAATAAAAAAACTGTGCGTTCAATCGATTTAAATTTTTTTAACATTATACAGATTGTTCAGCTGACGAAACCTATTTCCAAAAAAAACAAAAACCCCATTAAGCTAAACATTAAAACTAAAGTTGTGAAAATTACATGACGTAAGACTTTTATACAGTGTGTGCCATTATAAAGCCTATCCTTCACGGACTCATTTTCATCTGTATTAAATTCAAAATGGTGTCTAACCTGATTAAGGTCTATGGAATGGTGATTTTGAGTACAACTGGGGATGTCTGCTAATAAAATGATAATGCCAAAAGTGGATGTAGCCTAAATCATTCAGACAATAGAAACACTGTAGACCTCACCAGCTGGAGAAGACACCTTTAATGGCCTGTTGGCTCGTGCTCCAGCACGCCGGGCCCTCATATCGGCAGTCTCTCCCACCACAGGCGAACAGACAGATGATCTTAGAGGGAATAGCCTTCACTAGACTCTCCCTGGCTTGAGAATATGATGGTCTGGGCACTGGAACCTGCGGCGTCATGGAGGACAGGAGAGGAAAGGAGAGAAACTAACAGCAAATAACTGGTTCTATATGCACTAATGGCTTAACATTTAGCAGGCCACTTGGGATGAGCTGTGCATTGGGAAATCAGCTGAGGAATACTATAGACAGAAATATGGCAAAGAGATAGAAAACATGCAGTCAGTGACAAAACAGTCAAATTCCACCTATACTAAATACCAACAAGAAATTGATCAAAATAACAGTAGGGCAGTCAAGCTAACACACAATAATTAATAACTGCGTCGTCGCCATGTTAGCTGACCTACATTTGAAGCCTGTTGATATATCCACGGCTCTGTACTTTTATTTATTGATAATTCTGCCAGACAAAAACTGACTTACCCATGTGGCTCCATCCAAATAAATGGTTAAATGTGACATGTTTACATGTAGATTCCATAATAAACATGTAGAGAGAATCTAAAATGGCTATGCTGCATACAGAAACATGTTCATGCCTCAAAGCTGACCCAGCGATTTGTGTCTAATCCTTATTAAGTGTCATAAACATATTACTGGATAGACATTCACGATTCATAGTAAGCCTAATTATATAACACTCTCTGGGTCTGGCAGTCTGTACATACAATAAAAAAGCTAAGTTTTCTTTGGTCTAAATTAAATAATTCAGAGCTGTGGGCCATTAAGAATTTAGTTAAGAAAGCTTTAAATTTGAATTTACGTGAAATTGGAAATACATTTCCAAGAAATTAATGTAACTGCTGTA